TTAAGTTGGAAGGAATCTATAGGTTCCCATCCTCTATGAAAACAACATTAGAACCTCTTTTCCAAAGTAACATATCCTTAGACTCAAATTTTGAAGTCAATATACTTTTAAAATTCTTATGTTGGTTTAGCTTAGCAGCTTGTCCAATGAAATGCCTTTTTGTAGTTGACTTATTCACAGTCAAAAATTCAAAGAAAACACAATAATATACATAATCCAGACTCTGTGTATTTTCCATCTTTTATTCCTTTACTCTGTCTCTCTGTACTCTTTTATATTACTTTTACTGTCTCTTTAAAGACTTTTAGTTTTTAAAAACTACTTCTTTTTATAACTATCTATACTCTTTTCCCTCTTTCTCTCAAACTTACATACATTTTTTAAACACATTGTATTTCATTTAGAGTTCTTTATGTCTGAATCTGTCCTATTGTATATCTGTAATCATTTTTTTCTGATCAAAAGAGTATTTTTTAATGCTAAACAGGCATGTGTAGGACTAATTCTACCCAGTCCAACATGGCAGAGGCATGTTCACCATCTCTGTGAGTCATACTCACTGCCCCAGCTCTAGGGGCAGAGTGGGTCTATATCTTGATGAAGCAATTAGTAACATGCTGCTCACAGAATCCATTTAAGTGCTCCATAGCAGTATCTCCCCAAAGCGTCAGAGCCATTCATGAAACCAGCATGAATTAGGAAGCCAGCTTTTAAAGAAGCCACACAGTTTTTGCTGCTAATACTGAGGTAGAAAGCCTTCTCTTAAAGGAGCCACACCACTGGTTGCTGCCAGCAAGCAGCACTCACAAGAGAAAATGCTGCTACGAGAAGCTGTGCTTAACTCTGTTCTTTTGTTCCTAGAATCCCTTCCCAAATTCTCTCAGATTTTATGTGGATATAGTTGCCCTACATAGGGTGCTATTTTGTAAATGGAGACTGCTCATTTGTTTCCCAGCTGCCCAAACCTGAATAATCACAGCGAAGTTAGATTAATTACAACACTGCTTGGCCAATGGCTTATGTGTATTTCTAGTTTCCTCTTAAATCTTAAATTAAGTCATTTCCATTATTCTGTGTATTGTCATGAGGCAGTGGCTTACCAGGTAAAGTTCTAGTGTCTGTCTCCTTCAGCAGCTACATGGCATCTCCCCGACACCATCTACTCTCTCTATATCTGCTCAGATTTCCTGCCTGGCTTTACTCTGCTAAGCCATCGGCCAAAATAGCTTTATTAATTAGCCAATAAAAGCAATGTAGATACAGGACATCACATATCACATTCACACGAAGCTCTCAAACTTACAGAATAGTTTTCATTGGAAACTCAATTTCATTCCATTTCATTGGAAGCAGTAGAGTCTGTAAGAAAGCTATTTTTCCTTCCCAGAAACCAGACTTCTACAATTCTTCAACATCCAATCTCTTTAGATAGCACAGTAAGAAAGGACTAGGTATTTCCATTGCTCCTGAAAGCACCAAATCATAAAACAGAATATCTATAACTCCTATGATAAAGAGTGTGTTTGAGCCAAACGTGTTGGTGTAGTATCTAATCCTAGCATTAAAGAGACAGAAGCAGGTAAATCCCACTTAATGCTAGGTATCTACATGGTGAGTTCTAAGTCAGTCAGGAAAATAGACTGATATATTTACTCAATAAAACAAAACCTAAGCCAAACAACACGAAGGGAATTTAGCTACTCATTCATGGTTAGAGTGCTTTTCTTGGACCAAAGAGAGAACAGAAAATTAAAGAATTTATTAATATAGTTTAGTGACTAAAATTATTTAAAAGATGCTTTCCCATTTTGTACTAATCTATATAGTACATGTTGTAACTGTAATTATAGTGTGCCTTGATATTCTCTCACAGCATTCATGCTATGCTTTTCCATTTTAAGCTATCATAATGAGAATTTAGTAAATGTAGATATATCTCGGAATGCAGTATTTACATACTAGGTCACATACATTACAGATAGAAAATTATTGGGAAATCAAAATTTGGTTGGTAAATATTAATATTTTCAATCATTATTATGGGACTTGGCAAATAATACTTTCAGGTTCATTTAAATCTACACTGGTTCAACTAATCATTAACCAGTTCTCAGTGAATGCCTAACCTCCACAAAGGCTACTTGCTCAAATAGGTAAGTGATACAACAGTGGAAGAAGAAAGTATTGGTGAGTTTAAATTCCAGAGTTTTGTTAACTGCTATGATAGCATGAGAACCATGTTTGCAAACAAGGCATACCATACTCTTCTAGATTATTCTTCTGCAAATACCCTAACATAAGTGAAAGACATGCAATCCTAATAAGACTCAGTTTATATGATCTATGCTTACTGAAATTCTAGGATATCCACAACAGAACTTTGGGAGTGTCCTTCTAATAAGCAGTAGAGAAACTGACTACACTCCTGTTTCAGACCAAACTGCCTATTTGCCAGCCCTGCAATTCTACTGAGCTATTTTTCCTCCCAAGGCACATCTGACTTATGACTTCCCCAGGTTGTCCCTCAGGGTATCCTGCAGATGAAGGAAGGTGGCCTATTCCTATAACATCCTGAGTCCTGTTTGAACTAATAAAAAAAATTATTTTTTTGAACTATTAAAAAAAATAGCTTCCAGAAGTCTCCCCTAAGAATTCTAATCAAGTTCCTGTATTTTGTTTTTTACTAGGCACTTTCACAAACGCTTATGAATTTTCCAACCCAGAGAATCCCTGTTTTATTTGCTATCTCTGCTCTGATAAGCTGACTGTCCCTGCACCACTCATAATTCATCCCTCTCTCCCTGTCCTTGCTCTCTGACTACCTTGGACCCCACAGATCTGGCTCTCAGACTAAACTGGACTCGCTCTATACAGAGTTGCCACAATTTCTGCAACCATTGGCAAGAACAGTGTGTATAAATGGTCACCAAATGAAAATACTGCGGTGGGTAAAAGGTTAGATATCTACTCATTGCACATAGTTTTTCAAATTTGCAAGAACAGTGAAAAGTCTGTGCTGAATTAGGATGATCACAAGGTCTTCAAGCAGAGGGAATTCATTCATTGAATACCTGAACTGGAATCCCAGGTCTATTCATCTGATTGCAAATACCATATTCTTTTGGGGAAGGTCAGAGATCTAACTTTCCACTGCCTCCTGTCTCAGGTTCTGTTGGACCCTAGGGTCCAAACACTGACGAGGAGTTGCCCCCAGAGACCACCTCTCACACCACAGCTAATGTAAAAGCATGAGGATTAATTCTGTCATGACAGGGTTTTTCAGCATTAGAGGCCATAAAGACCCCAAACAGCTGGTCCAGACTACTTTTAAATGAAAAGCCATAGAAGCAAAGGGGAGTGTCTGGGGGGGTTGTTCTTTGACTATTATGATTGGCTCATTCAAAAGGGCTACTATCAATAATTGGCTGGAGAGCAGTTGCCAGATCAGATGAGGTAAGAGATCACTTTGATCCCGTTTCCCAGGGACTGAGTCAAAACATACGTCTGTGGGTAATTGTTCAGGAACTGAGTCAACATCTAAGGGTTATCTTGCCCCTATTCAATAACTGAGTTCTATTTGGAGAACATCCACAAGGACTCAGGGAGATGATGGAAAGTTCCCAACATTTCAGTATGTGTGTGGGCAATTGTTAGGTCCTTGGTTCCCAGGGGGAAAGGGGTGGAGCATTACTGCTGAGACTGAAAGTTGTCAGAAATGGCTTTAAAGTTAGTTTAAGTTCTACAGTTCAATGTTCCTGGCACACCAGCAACTAATACAAATTATGACTACTTGAAACCTACAGCTTGAATTTACTCAAGGTTGTATTAACTTGTATGTCAACAAACTCTAATACCGAGAACTCCCAAACATATTTTCTTATGAGTTGAATATAACTTCTTTCTTGTATTAAAATCTGTGAAATTCTTACGTAATAGTATGGTTTTGCTCACGGTAACATAATGTTTTGTCTAAGGCCAGAAATTTCTGAGTCTTCCTACTTTTAGTATCAATATAATGCTTTGGAACTGGACTAAATATTTTTCAGCCACTCTCAGCTCTTCAAAAGAATCTTCCAGCACATTTTTGGGGATTTCTAAGCTAACATGAGAATGGACATTATGTCTACTTCATACTTTTTCATGATAGGTGCAGACAGATTGACCCATGACATTAAGTTGAAAATGAGTCCTTTATAAAGCCTTATTATGTTTCATGATGAATTTTCCAGGATGTCTATAATAGCATTCTTTAAATGATTTAACAAAAAGAATTGAAATTCAATGTATTCCTTGGGGCTTGTAGAATAGAATTCTAAAGTACAGCAGTGTAGGGCCCATGGGTCTACCCCAGATCCCGGGTTTCATCTTGAGGACAGTTTCTGGCCAGTCAGCTAAAATATCTTGTTTGTTCCTGTGCTCCCTCTGCCCTGCCTGGTGATTAGCTATTCCTAATTGTTTACTCCATCTTGGGCATGGTAATTTCCCACCTGCCTGGGGGAAATTCCTTGTGCAGCAGATAGGTATATAAGGTTTTTCCTAAGTTTAAATAAATGGTATTTGGCTGATTTCCTTTCAAATGACCCAGGTCTCTTGTGTGTTCTTTCAATCTCCAGGCCCTTGCCCGGCTTGCATATGGTACAGTGGAGCACACACTGTACTGAAAGTAACGCAGGCACAGGCATTACACAACAGAACAGATCACCACAATGTATTACTAAACCATGGGGAGCCATGTTTTGTGGATGTGTTTTGTTGATTCAGAGCCATGAAGGGACACAGCCCAGTTTGGATGATGTGTTTCACTGACTTACTTACTTACTTGACTTACTTACTTTGGTGACTCAAATGCTTTCTCTCTGATATCTATTCTCCATCGTACCACAAATTTCAAGGAACAATTACTTCAGAGAGTATTTAATGAGACCTTATTCCTGCAGAGATGGAACATACACAGGTATCTACTCACCCAACAAGGAACTGAAAAAAGAACTAAGCCAAACTTGTTGAACCAATCAGCTTTATTTTGGGGTTAGAGGAATATCAGAAAGTGATGTTTATTGCACTACAAAGGACTCAAAGACAGTTGTAACCATGAAGCTTCAAATCAGCATGGGATACAGCATAAAAATTAAGGACCCTGGAGCACACTGTACACCTGTAGGCATATCTTCAAGTTAAAGAGCATACTATCTTGGTGGATCATTTTGTCAAATTTGAGCAGTATGATCTGAGTTTTTCCATTTGAGTTAAGCATACTGAATCCTGTCAGTTTCAGGAATTTCTTGGAAGTTATTTTGAGGTGTCTATTTCCTATCTTAGTCAGCTCTCATCCAATATGGATCAATACAGTCTCCAAGAAATTGCCATATACCAGTACATCCTTCAGGTTTTGCTGAGGCAGAGTATGAATAAAGTATTCATACTTTCAAAAGTATTGCTAAGGCAGAGTATAAAGAGTATGCCACAATATTTGCTATGGAAACTTTTCTCCCCTTTGTGAATTTTCAGATGTTTCTGTAGACTTGAGAGACAAAAAAGGGTTTTCCTCATATGTTACATTATAAAGTTTCTCTCCTGTATAAATTCTTTGATGTGTTCTCAGGGTGATTTCTGTGGGAAATGAGTTTTTGCATTGACTATATTTGTAAGATTTCTCTTCTATATGAATTCGCTGATGTTTTCTAAGATTTGAGCAACTGATAAAGGATTTGTAACATGCACTACATTTATAAGGTTTCTCTCCTGTATGAAGTCGTTCATGAATTCTAAGGTGGTCTTTTGTGGTAAAGGATTTATCACATTCACTACATTTGTAAGGTTTCACTCCTGTATGAATTCTCTGATGAATTCTAAGGTGGCCTATCTGGGTAAAGCATGTATCACATTCACTACATTTGTAAGGTTTCTCTCCCATATGAAGTCTCTGATGAGTTCTAAGACTGCTCTTCTGGGTAAAGGACTTCTCACATTCATTACATTTATATGGTTTCTCTCCGGTATGAATTCTGTAATGAATTCTAAGATGGTCTTTCTTGGTAAAGGATTTGTCACATCCATTACATTTGTAAGGTTTCTCTCCTGTATGAACTCTCTGATGATTAGTAAGATGGCCTCTCTGGGTAAAGGATTTGTCACATTCACTACATTTATAGGGCTTCTTTCCTATATGGATTCTCTGATGTGTTCTAAGACTGCTTTTCTGGGTAAAGAATTTGTGGCATTCATTACATTTATATGGATCCTTTTGTCTATGAATTCTCTGATGAGTTCTAAAATGGTCTTTCTTGGTAAAGGATTTGTCACATTCACTACATTGGTAAGGTTTCTCTCCAGTAAGAATTTTCTGATGCATTCCATGTTCTGAGGTACTGATAGAGAATTTGTCACATTCACTATATTCGTAGGTATTCTCTCCAGAATGCAATTTGCAATGTCTTTTAAATTCTGATGTATGAGAAAAGCACTTAGAACACTCTGTACTGTAGGTTTTTTCTCCACAATGGAACTTGCAGTGTACTTTGATTTGTGACAAATGTAGAAAGGATTTACTACATTGTGTACATTTATAGAATTTCTGTTTATTATGACCTCTCTGATATCTACTAAGGCTTGAGTCTGTCTTGAAGCATTTATGGCTTTGTTGAGGTTTCTTCACACTATTCGTTCTTTTTAGCATGAGTTCATGCTTAGGGTCAAAAGATTTATCATTCTCTGTATTTTTGTGTTCTTTTTGTCCTGTGTGTATTCTTTGATTCTGACTAATGATGAAACACAAATTTAAACAGTTTACACAACCATTAACTTTGCAAGCTTCTTCTTCAGGGTTTCCACATTTATGGCTGTATAAGTGTAACGATTCAACAGAAGAGTCTTGGTGGTTACCAAATATGTACTTGTTGTAGATTTTTGTTTCAGCCCTAGCATTATGATTATATTTGCAGAATTCATGAATTCCTTTGTCAGGCTCATTGTATTTATAAGGATTCACTTTGGTATATACTTGCGGATGGACAATGTGCTCTGAGCTTTGATCCAAGACTTTCTCATTATTATAGCATATGCAATGGTTCCCTGAAAAATTAGCACAATGAGGGAAGACAGGGATTAATGCATGAGTAAGAGACTTAACTGATTTGCCTTAAGTTTTTTAAGAAACATAACTAGCAATTCTCAGGGATAGAGCTCTCACCCTAGGTCTTCTCTGTCTCACGTGACTCGAGCAATGTTCAGAAGAACCTCAACTCTGATCTATATTAAACCACAAGAACTGACAGTAACCTTCTCATTTTTATCTATACTGTGTACTTTGCAGAAGATAGGACAAATAGTGGTCAAGCAATAAATAGAGGACCTCCTGCTGAACAATGTTCCTCTAATTTCTTGTGCATGTTTTTGAGACCAAGTCACACTGGGTAGCTTTGGTCAGCTAAGAACTCATTATGTAACCCAGGCTGTAATGGAATTCAGCATATCCTCTTGCTTCAGCATTCACATTGCTATGATTAAATTATGCATTTTCAGGGTTAAACATAGAGAATACATCTCAAAAACTAAATAATAAACAAAAAGCCATGCTCACTACCCACAGCTCTCATTATTTAAACCTCCTGAAATTTAAAAATCAAAAATAGGTCAATAATTTAATTCAATAATAACAACATAAAAATATTCCAATTATTATGTGTAATGCAATATATTTTCATGCTCTGAATAATCAATTTCCTTTGAACTTTGATATTTTCTTTTAAAACTAGATAGAAGCAGCTAGAGTGATCACACAGAATATAGCATTATCTACACTTCTAGGGAACACAGAATAGTGTAAACTGCACCATGAAAAAAATTAGGTGAATAATCAGAATTTCCATTATTTCTAGAAGTGTCTAGACAGTTAAGATAGATTACATATTAAATGAAGTAGATAAATAAAAATGATGAATCAGGAATTCCTAAAGGAAAAAAAAAAGCATTCTTACCTACAAAGACTAGATTGTTATAATTCTCCAACATAACATCCAAGTACAATGCCCTCTGAGTACAATCAAGACATTCCCATTCCTCCTGCGAGAGATCCACAGCCACATCCCTGAATGTTAACAGACTCTGTAAGAGAAAATTATCTATATACTATGTGCGGCTGGACAAAATATGTTCCTAGGTAAAAGAGGCTGAAGAACTACAGATACTTTCTGTGATATAGATAAGGCATGGCATTTTTTCAAAGACAAGTTGTTCAAATTTGTTCAAAATTTTCTATAAGGGCTACAGAAATGTGTTAGATGTTAATCACAATGTATAGACTGACAATGCTTACAATCTTAAGGTCTCTCTCCTTCATGAATTTTCTGACATTTTCTAAGACCTTAGCAGCAGATAAAAGGTTTCCTACAATCACCACATTTGAAAATGGTCTCTGTTGTTTAGAGTCAGTAATGACTTATAATCCTTTAAAATGTAGTTTGGTTCCGAGTACATTCATGGTACCACACAACAGACTTTAACCCCAATTCCATGAAATCCCGTGTTCGCTTCTGAACTAAACAGATAGGAGGCTTACATAATACACACTTACATGTTCAGGCAAATACACCCACGTAGAAAAAATAAAACATAAATTTAATTATAGTAATAGATGATTTCAAAACGTCATCGTCTATGTTGTATTTTCTATCTCTATAAAACAGATGACCTAATAGTTTCACAATGAGCAAACTTTTAGGGAATATCACATACTTGTGAGGTCTTCATGCAGGAATTTACTTTTATGAAGTATGTGTTAATATCAAGTAGGATCTATGCTTCCAAATTCTACAAGTATCAACTTTGCTAAACTATGAAAACTGCATTGATCCTATCTGCAGCTGAGCAACATCATATTATATTCTAACAGGTTCAGTTGAGATCCAGAGACCTAAATGCACCCTTTATAATGCAAAGGAATAGAATATGGAATGCAAATTTATTTATGAATTTAAATCAATGTTTTCTTTAAACAGTAAGGAGTGTACCATCAGTGTATGCATCCAATATTCCAAACAATAGACTTAAATAGTTTGTGCAGTTATTTTATGAGAATATTTTCACAACCATTAAGTAAATAAAAAAGCAGCAATAGACAAAATTAAATGTATCAATTTTTGAAAATTGACACACCAGTTTAGATAATTATAATTTCATATATTCAGTATGGTGTTTCACTATAGAATAGCTAGAAATATATGTGTAAATAAATAGCAGCATGGGACAATGCATTCATAGAAAGTAGAAACATTTTTTCTAATTGAAGCTAATGTTTTAAGTTTTTGAGAATTATACTCATTTCATTAATTTTGAATACATTATTATTCATGAGATTGGCTCAATTAAAAAGTCAAGCCTTCTAATTTCAACTCTATTCTTTTCTTCAGTATCTGAGCTCAGTCATCTAAATGTCATTTATAATTCTTCCTTCATTACCCACAAACTAGAAGATGCCAGATTCTGTACTATCTATCTCACAAACATACAACAGGAATGTAAATCTTAAGGCAAGGGAAATGGCCCAGATGTAAAGGCACTTACTGTTCCTGCACAGAAATCTAATTTAATTTTCTCTACACACATGGCAGCTCATTACACAGTCTCTGACTCAAGTGTCAAGGCTTTGGTGCTGACCTCAGGGATTCACATAATGTATCATGTAGTGTGCATAAAATTATGCAGGAGAACATTCATATACTTAAATAATATCTTGCTGTAAAAAGAGAAATAGAAACCTGCCAATCACCGCAATACTTTAGGATCTCTATGTAATACAAAGCTTCAGGAAGAGGAAAAACAAGGTGGAGGAGCCTTATACTACCAAGAGCAAAGAGTAAAGTGATTAAATAGGACATTTAATGATTCTTCAAAATTAATGGCTTATGTACAACACCAATTCCAGAAAATTCTTGCTAATAGATTCCACATGATACAACACAAAGGTGGAGACAGTGGTGCTTATGTCCTTCTGAGATATTAAAACTGATCTGAAGAATTAAAACATTGGTCTATTGACAACTTATAATTGAGAATTAAGAATATGATCAGGACTTCTCCTCAGATGAATGGATTTCAGTTAGTAACACACCCAACAACACTGGGTAATGTAAATGTCAAAAGGAAAAACTAGCATACTACAATCTGCATTGGTGTAGGAGGATCTTCTATCTATGTGTTGTTTTCACTGGTTGAATAAAGAAGCTGCCTTGGCCTTTTGATAGGGCAGCCCTTAGGTGGGCGCAGTAGACAGAACAGGATGCTGGGAAGAAGGCAGGCTGAGAGAGCTGCCATGGAGCCAGCCACCAGGTCACACATGCTGGATCTCAACCGGTAAGCCACAGTCATGTGGTGACATACAGATTATTAGAAATGGGTTAATCAAGATGTGAGAGTTAGCCAATAAAAGGCTAGAACTAATGGGCCAGGCAGTGTACTGTTCCTTTCATCACCTATACTCTCTAGGGTGCTGATATATGTATTATTGGAATTCAAGACAGTGAATCTCTTCTAATTCTACATTTCCACAAATGACTCAGTGGCATAATTTAAAAAGTCCATATATTTGCATGTCCACATTCATTTTCTGGATCTGGAAATCTGACCATCCCAGAAATACAATCTTTCATAAATAATATAAAAGGACAAATGTCTATCCTATGTAGATGCTGGCCACCAATATATTTCTTTGGGTATCATTTGCAATAGATTATTTTAAGAGTTGCAGGACTTAAAGAATTTATGTCCTCTAAGTAAAACATGGAATGAAAATATAATGTGAAGTGCTGTTCAATACATGTGAAAAAAATCTATACACTTACTCATAATTATCAGAGTAGAAAAAAACATAAATCATACAAAAGAAACACTTTAGATAATATTACCAGAGGTACAGAATTAAAGTCTAGAAAGCTTTTAATACTAAAAATAAATGTCATAGAAATGTAAACATGACACTGACCTCAGGAGTATTTATCTGAAAAACACTCATTCTTCTTGTTGCTCTCCTCTGAGTTTCTGTGTGTGGAACCAAGATGGGAATCCTTGCTGAAATTTCACATAAAGGTGTCAAAAGTACAAAGCTAAAATTAATCCAACTCTGTTATGAATAATGCCAAACCAAATAAAAAGAGCTCGAAATCAAAATGATATCAGAAAATTTTCAACATTTCTACAGACGAGAGAGCACAGGAGGATATATTTTGAGTGGAGAAAGAAAATGACTATGAACCTAATCTTTGCATCAACAGACATTGTCTCCTAAAAATTCATGGAGAAGGGCACAGAAAAAAGTTTATGAAGTAATAAACGTCATTCATTCATGCAGCACTGCAGATCATAATTAGAGGCAAAGAATACATAGAAAAACCAGAGTGTTATCAGTCACAACACAACAAATACAGCATTTTATATAATAGATAAAGGAGAACTAGGGAGTACTCGACTATGTCCAACACACAAAACGAGCAAACTTCCATTTCCAACTAAAAGAAAATACATTAATACTAGTAATTTTATCAACAAGAATACTAAAAAAAAAAAGAAAAAGAAAAACTCACAAAATAATGTCATGTGATAAGAAGATCTCAGTAAAAACTGTAATGCCATAGAACAAACTTCAACAGATGCTATAGAGATTTGCATTGGTATGGATCTTGGTTTACTGATGCAAATTTAAAGTCAGTCTTGTTATATGTATTATTTCTGCTCTTGATTGAGGTATTGTAGTTGTGTAGTTCATTTTAAAATGTAATGTATAATTAATAAATATAGTTTAATAGGCATCTATAAGTCAAGTTTGTAGTCATGTTAGTTAGCTTTTCTAGATATATAGAGATATATTTCAGTTAGATATTCTTATCTTGCAGAGAACTTCAGAATATGACATTTAAATGACTTAGGGCTATACTGACATGAGACATGATTGCTTCTGATAGCACCAATCTATTCCCGAGAAAACTTTGAGCATCAAAGACACTCCACTCGGAGTTTGTTTTCTTCTTGGCACAATTAGTCTTTGGACAAGGAACTGCCCATACCTCAAGCACTGACAAAGTGCATGGTATCTGGAAATGGATAAGCAGGACACAAAGAAAAAGACTGTTAAATCTTGTCAAGACAGGGTAAGATGGTTCTGAAAAGTTTCCTGCCTCTAATAATGGTCTGTCAGTTATGCTAGGCCTTAGCCAGAGTTGGTTGCTTCAAAGGTGTAAGTGAGATTTTGGGTGATTGCTCAAGTAGATAATTGTCTTTGTCATATATTGCTCACTTTAGAAGCTACTTGATTGTACTTCCTGCCTGCTCAAGTAATATTATCTCCCTTCTCATGCTTTGGATGGGGTTGAATAATTGATAAATCATAATTACCACCCTCTTATGATCTAGCCAAGACATTTCCAATACAAGACTTAGACCCCTTAGAATAGAATGTTTATTAAAACATTTGTCATACATTCCTTGCATAATATTGTTTATGTTGATTGCAATTCTAATCTTATACTTGATATCTGTTCCTAGTGTATATGGTTTTGTATTGGGTTTAGAACTCTCTTATTTTAACAAAAGGGGGAGGTGCTGTAGTAGCACATTCTACTCCTTCAGCCAATAGCATTTAAGATACCAGCCCACTTGGGCATGGTCTCTTATACTGTAAATGCAGCTATAAAGTGTGTGCTCTCTCTCTTGTTTCCACCTCTCTTTTCTGGCTGTGGGATTCAGTTGCTGTTCCCCGTTCTAGCAGAGGATTGTGATCTGTGAGTCTACCCCTAAGTAAACAACTCTTTATCATTCATAATTCTGTGTGTCTGAGAATGGGGCTGTGGGCATGGCTCTCAGAGGCAGCGAACAGCTCTACCATACTGGGCTGGGCAGGGCAAGCAAACAGTACCATATTTCTCCTAGTAATGGTGCAGCTTAAGGTTTTAAGAAATGTTTAACATTTTAAGAAGTGCTCCTGGAGAGTAAAGAATTATAGATACACAGTAGGACAGATTCAGACAAGAAACAATCTTTTAAATCAACAAGTATAAGAGGTCATCATTAGGTAGTAGGGAAGGCAAAGAAATTCCAGACTGTAGAGAGCCCACTGGCTGAATCAACTTACTAAGCAGGTACCATTCTCCATTTTCCAGATTTCTTTTTAATAACAAATACAGAATTCCAAGAGCTGGTTGATTCTTCAATATGCTGAGCATTTACCTGTGCCTATAACAGCAACTCTAAAGCCTGAAGTTTCTCTGGTGTTAAAGGCTATTGTGCAAACCATACAGGTTTGTCTGCCAACCATTTTAAAGTTAGGGTTGTGGGTGTCTTTGAAAGATCAGCAGCTATTGTGTCTTGTTCTTGAACAACCTGAATGGTCGTTGATTGTTCTTTATAATACCTTCTAATATTTTTCCAGAAATGTACGCTAATTTACTCTTTGTTTCTAAGATTGGTATGATGTTAATCTGAATATTTCATTGTTGTAACAAATTACATCCCCACATCATTTGTATGTTAGCTACATATGCTTTTAATTTTCCTCTCTGTCCTTCGGGCCCTATACATTCGAACCATCTCATGCTCTGTTTTACCTGAGGTAAAGTTCCAGTCCCTAAAAGCTGACCATTTATGTCCTGAAGAGGCCAACTTGGATGCCAAGATTTTGGTGCAGTAATTTTTACATCCACACTTGTGCTTACCAGACCTTCATTGACGCCATTCATTCACATTTTTAATTTTGATCTTTGTTCATTCATAGGAGTTTCCAAGAATATTCACTTTACTGTTTTTCCTGAATTTTCTGTTCTCTTATCCAGAGCAGTATGGTTTCTTACTACAGGCATTATGCTTTTTGAATTGCTCTGAGAAGGGATTTCCTCTACAATAACAGGAAACAACTGAATCAAATTTGGCATAGAGGCCTGCTAGAGGTCCCTCAATGAGATATCTGACAGCAAAGGGTTATCTTGAATGTTACTTGTGAACTACATTCAGTAGTTCAATGCCTGCCTTTGCCACAACTTCCGCATAATCCAGAAGTGAGTCATATTTTCAAGAGACTCAATTATTATTTGTCTAGCTTCTGAATTCGTTATCATTCTGTTTACTGCTTATGTCAATCTTTGCAAGAAATCAGCAATTTTGGAACCTGGTCCATAGTTACAATGGAGGGCCTGTTGGAAAGAAGAGACTAAGGCCATTGAACAATTTTGTAAAGCTAGAGGTATAGAAATCACCCAAGATCAACTTCTTGGAGAAGGAGAAGGCAATCCAGATGATGATGCCCATACCCTGGTTTTATGGCAGGCAGCATCTTGGAATTCTTGGGACAGAATTGAAGAAGTAGGAAAGAAGATTGAGTCATTTACTAAAATCACACAGAACCTGACAGAAACCTTCACTGATTTCTTACCTCTACCAATGCTCAGACCAAAGGGGAGATCCTGTCCTCAGACTGCTTCCACAGATTGTATTCCCATACTGCTTCAGACTGTCTCCTCAGACTGCACTGAATTCCAGTTTCCTCCCACTTTACAATCCTCTCTCTGATCAGCCATATCACACCTGTCTCCACCTCCCTAGTGCTGGGATTAAAGGTGTGTTATCCCAACTGTTGGGATCACCTTTGTGTGAGTTCTGTTTCTATTTCAGATTGGATCAATTTCTTGTTGTCCGAGGTAGTCTTGAACTAACAGAGATCCATCTGTCCTCTGAGTACTGATACGAAAGGTGTCTGCCACCACTTCCTGGTCTCTAATGGCTTAGTTTTCTTCTCTGATCTTAAGACAAACTTTATTTTTTAAAACACAAACAAAATATCACTAAACAATACCCTTCACAATAGCCACAAATAATATGAAATATATTCCATTAACTCTAACCAAGCAAATAAAAGACTCTTATGAAAAACCTTCAAATCTTTAATGAAAGAAATATAAGGTGTCAAACGATTGAAACAGTTCCCATGCTCAAGAATCTGTAGGATTAAAAAATAAAAATGGCTATCTTAACAAATCAATCTACCGATTCAGATAATCCCCTTAAAAATTCCAACACAATTCTTTACAGACCTTAAAGGACAACAATAAACTTCATATGAGAAAGCAACAATAAAAACCCAGGATTTAAAAAATAAAAACCTGTACAATAAAAGAACATCAAGAAGTATAACCATCCTTGATTTCAAGCTGTCATAATAAAAACCACATGGTACTGGCATAAAAACATACTCTTTTTTTTTTTTCAATGAAATCAAATCAAAGTCCCTGATAAATGCTTACTAATGGATACCTGACTTTTGAAAAAGAAGCCAGAAATACACAATGGGGGGAGAAAAGCAGCATCTTCAATAAATGGTGCTGGTCTAACTGGAGGTTGGCATGTAGAAGAATGCAAATAGATCCTGTATCTGTCACCCTGCACAAAACTCACATCCAAGTGAATCAACGGCTTCAACATAAAACCATATAAGCTCAACCTGAAAGAAGAGAAAGACTAGCCTTGAATGATTAGCATAGTAGACAACTTCCTGAACAGAAAACCAGTAGTGCAGGTACGAAAATAACCAATTATTAAGCAGGACTTCATGAAATTAAAAAGCTTCTGTAAGGTAACACCATGGTCAATATAAGAAAATGACAGCCTACATATGGTTTTCCATATGTCACCAACTCTACTTTTGACAAACGGCTAATATCCAAAATAAATAAGGCACTTAAGAAACAAACCAAAAAAATTCAATTAAAAATGGGCTACGGATCTAAACACAATTCTCAAAAGAGGAATCTCAAATGACTAGAAATACTTCAAGAAATGTTCAACATTCTTAGCCATCAGGGAAATGCAAGTCAAAACTACTATGAGATTTCATCTTAAGCTTCACAAGTGACAGCTCATGCTGATGAGGCTGTGGATTAAGGGGAACACTCCTCCATTGGTTATGGGAATGCAAACTTACACAGCCACTATGGAAATCAATACTGTGGTTCATCATAAAACTGGGGATCAACCTACCTCAAGATCCAGTTATAGCACCATCTTACCACAAGGGACTTGTTTATCTA